GACAGATGCAATCCCCCACGTATAATCACTCCTACAAGTTACAAAATGCTATTCTGTGGTCATGATTCCAGGTGTGCCAAAGATCTGCAAGAAAGTGCATAATGGTTAATTATAAACTGCTATGACACAGAACTAATTTCTGAATAATTAAACTTTTGATACATTTGCAGCTGAAACCATTTCCAAATATTAGATGGAACAAAAAAATACAGGTAGCACTGGCCTCTAACTGTATTACAACTGGATTTAAGTAATTTCTTACAATGGGACATTCTTGAGCTTCCATAAACTGTGTGAATAACCTCTAATCTCTAATACAAACTGGGAAAAAAAATGCCTCTTGCTCTGTATTGTTGAAAAAGCCTTCATACAGCAGCACTGCCATCTCCTGCTTGCTTGCTTCCATGCACACCAGTGCGAGGTTTGTGTTGCAAAGCAGCCACAGGGAACGTGCAGTTTTCTGCTACTAGGTAACTGAGACAGTAACATTTTCTAACACTCAGGGATAACACGTTTGTAGTTCTGCAGGTAGGTGGAATGTTCACAAGTGAATTTTTTTTTAGCATAGAAAAAAGTACCACAGCCATTTGTCCAGAATTTCTGATATATCACATCCCAGCCGAACAATAGCTCAAAATGTGTACATTTGTGTACTTGTGCTGTGCCCAAGGAATACATTTTATACCTGTTGAATGTGCTTCCATTGAGTTGATCTGTACACAAACCAACACATTTGAACAGATCTAAAATATCCCCTGTGGTCTGCATGAGTTCTGCAAGTCCAAAGCATGAATGACTCGTGCACAGGATTAATTCAATACAATGGGGTGTATTTGATCATATGCAAGAATTTGTGTGGTCCATGTGCATTAGGTCCAACAGGTCCCAGATGTATCACATACACTCTGAATCCTTAGGACACAGGCAAGATAGAGGCAGTGTACTGCCAGAACACAGAGTTAGAATCACAGTCATATCAGGGTACTGGCTTATTACTTATCATAAGCCAGAAGAGGACAGCTTATGCTTCTGAGAATATTTCTACGCATTTACAATGCCTGATGCAGGGTCTCTTGCAGTCAGTCATGTGTCCACTGAACTCTCTCTGCTGTGCTAAGGTTTTATAGATATGAACCCTATAGCTCAAACCTGGTCCTGCTTAGGGATTCAGTTCTGGTATTGACATCACCTCTAACAGACTCAGCTTGTTGCCAGCACTGTTGCCAGTTCAAACCAGCCACATCTGTCCCACAAATTGCTACATGCCAAGCTCAGAAAAGCCAGAGGGCATGACACGTCTGCTTTTGCTTCTGGCTTTGCTTCTGGAATAGAGCTAGATAAGAGACTAGGACAGAGGTTTCTACTGGATTGTTCTTGAACCTGGAAAGCTTCCCAAACCAGAGCCTACCGTGAATCATACAGCATGATCCAATTGCTCTTGGTTACTTGAATTATTTTCTAGGACAATAACATTCAATACACAGAGAACAGAAAATTGCATCCAAAGCAAAAAATATGGAATGATGGGTAAGGAACATAATAGTGCATATAAATTATAGTTGCCTAAGATACATTTTCCCTTCCCACAGAATCACACACATTCATTATTCTTATTCTCCCTTGCTTTGGAGGCATGTTTATTGTCAAAAACAAGTTAAGAGCTACTGAAGACATTAGCAGGTACTGAAAAACAATTCTGTTTCTTACTACCCCAAATGTCCAGCAGGGTAAAAAGGTAGGAGAAAGTCCTATAAACCATTTTGTTGGTGAGATCTCAGTTCACACTCAGTTAATTGGCCTGTTTTGCAGGATTTAATCTGGTGGCATAAGAATCCTGAAATAAATCTCTTAGCTACGATTAGAGATGAAGGAGAGATTAGCACAGACAGGAGAGTTGAAGTGGTTCTCTCCATTGGTGAGTCAGTGTGAAAACAGAACAACTACAGAGACATCAGGAAATCAGTATTTCAATCATCCTCAGGATGTCAAATTCAGGTATTTTCTCCCTTGTATTCAGCAAGTTACCAGTTTCAAGACCCTGTTCAGTCCTCTGAAGCAGGTTAGTGGTTTCTTTTATAACATCACAAATAGCAATGTATGTTTAGCTAAAATAGCAGATTTTAGCAAAATCAGTAAGATAAGATGTGGCTTGTTTGTGACAAAATTGAAAAATTTCTTTGAGCAACTTGTATCTAATAAGTAAATACAAAAAACAGCTGTGGTACATCTTTTTCACTATAGTTGATAGCAAAGGAACAGCTAGGTGACATCGTGGAAGCAAATTGTATGGTGATGGAAGCTGTCTTTAAAGTTAGATAAATTTGAATTAGACAAAGAAAGCTTGAGAACAGCATTGATAGTATGGAAGAGATTTCCATACTTATTTTGTGCTCTTTTCTTGAAAGAAGTATTTCTCCCTTTATAGAATAAAATCCAGTTTGCTGTCCCATAGCTGGGGAAAGTATGTCTGTGTGTATATGATTCATAACTCTGGAGTGGCTCAAGTGCAAATGTTTCTAAGAACTATGACAGAGGCATTAGTACCACTGAAATGCTGGGAGCATTTGTGGCTTTACAGTAACCCACTGCCAACTATGACTTGGAGAAGAACAGACACAGGTTTCAGAGCAAGACTGACAGTTTAAGATTATAATTGCAGTTCAATTCTTTCAGATGGAAAAACTTTCTTCATGGTGCTCAAAAAATTACATTACACAGCTGTGCATGTGTTGCAATAGATCTTACACTAATAAATGTATTGAATACTTTATTAAACAGTTAGGGAAAGAATAACGTTATGATGCATTTATAAATTTTTTTTATGATGTGAAGAGAGTCTTCTCATCAGAAATAAGTTTAGTAAACTGTTAGCACAGGTGAAAATCTTAATGTAAGTATCCATGTAGAAGGCTAGAAAAAAGGAACAGAAGAGATTAACTTGCTCTTCTGTCCCAGACTCAATGCACTCAAGAGAAGCACAGTATCTCCCAAAGATCAATCCCAAGTATATCAGTGATAGCCAGGGTCAGTCAACAAGTGGTCTTTGAACTACAACCAGTTATTCCATCCCTTTTCTCTGGAACTAGGACTCCATGAAATCACAGATCTTATGCTGCTGCTGTGGGTAGCACTGTAAGATAAATGTCAATATTCCATGAAATATAAAAATTCACAAAGGAAGCTAAGAATGCCTCATGAGAATTTCTGGAGACAAGGAATTACTAGGAGAATTTTTCTTGCGTGCAAGTTTTTAACTTTTTTTAAACTTCTGGCCTCTGAAAATTTGGGATGGAATAGCTACATGAGATTGAATGTATCTGTGCTTATGGAACTCAACTTAAAATTTCTTTACAGCTAGAATATGACCAAGTCTTAGATCTACATCTTCCAAAATCAACAATGCCGCTGGAGTAGATTAATTTTGAGTAGAACTATTTACAACTTTTGTCCAAATGTTTAAACTAAATATGTTTAGCAAGTAGGGTGTTTTCAGTGACACTGTAACTAAATGTGTGCTGAACAATTTTGAGGCATTGTTCAAATATGTACATGTGTTTCACAGAAAGAGTGAGTGATGCATTCATGTGTGCTGGCCATTGAATGTGAACTGTGTATCAGCAATCAATAAATTTCACAACAGATTCTTGCTGTTGTGAACTCTGAGGCCTGAGTATCGGGGGCAAATGAATCTATTAGCAGCCATCACTTACAGTTATTTAAGGTCAAGTCACAAACTGCTTAACTGGTGAAGCAATCAAAGGTACTGTCTCCAGGCTTAGCAGGCTTATTCAGACTGTCAGCTGAATTCATAGGGAGGCTTAATTCTGTACCACCAGAGCATGATCCCTTCAAATGAGGTCTGAACAATACTCAAGAAGAATGGTGTGAAGCAAGTGTTGTAATTTTATAAATGACTATTCTCTGGACATCTCTCTAAGATGTCTATAATTTATATGATTATCACAATATGATCACAATCAATATTCAGCCATAACTGATAATCAACCTTAACAATCATTACAATTAGGACCCTGTTTTTAAATTCAGAAAGCTGCTGGCCTCAACACCTTTGGAAATAGACTGGTAAGGAAAAATACAGTGTATTTTCCACACTATTCTCTGTATTGTTCAAAAGATACACAGAGCTGAATAGCTTTGAGATTAATTAGTTTTCTCTGTAAATGCAGGAGTAAATAAATGCAACTTGAATTAATTACATCTCAAAGCCTTAAAATCTTAGTGTATGAAGATATTTAACCATATCCTAACATGAATCACACAACCTATTCCTTTCCTGTACAAACAGAACTGATTCCTTCCGACGTAAGCACATGAAGACGCTGGGATTCCATTACTTTTTTAAACTGCACTCTGCAACAATCTGTTTAGACAATGCTAAGCTTCACTGCAGCTGGGGATCCTTTACCGGGTCAGTGTAGCCCTACTTCTAACCAGCTTGTCTGTCCCCAGGTGTATCTGCTGTTTTAGCTGATACAAGTTTTACTCAGTAATAGCATCCACTAACTTAGAAAATATTATGCTGCTTATAGATCTCTATTTTCCCAGATTTACAGGATTACACTTTACTGTTCATAAATGCCATTGTATTAGTGGAATTAAATTACTATATAATTATATAATGCTAAGTTTTACAGTATAAAATCACTCTAATGAGAGTTGTAAATCAGGAACAAGACAAGTCAGTTTTCTGGAGAGCAAAGAAAAAAAGGCGCCTGTATATATGGTTGAACACAAACCTGACCATAACATAGGAAACTAGTAATAATAAATACCTATAATTGTTAAAAAAAATATAGGCAACAAGTAGAAGGGGAAGACACTGGGAGTCTTCTGAGGGGAAAGACAGCAGACCAGTTCACTTTTAGATATCATGTCTGCACAGAAAATTGGTCTTGATGAAAATTCATAGGAACCCAGAGTCTCTGTTCATACTATTCACTAATTTCTAATTTTAAATCCTTAGATTTTTTTTTAAGTGATTCACATTGTTATGAAATTTAAGCAATAAATTTCATTGGGGTAGTCCCTTGGCAAGACTCAGAGTGTGTGAGGCTGTACAGGAAGTTCTTTTGTAGGCTCTATAAATATCTGGTCAAACAGACAGTAATCTCTCTCCCTCTTCTTCAGATTTCTGCACGCCTTGGATCCATGCTCCTAATCAGCTTATGAGCTTTCCTTGACCTACGCTTCTTTTCCTAATGCGTGTCTGACTATGGCTGTCCTCAAAGTCAAATTCACCAAAACCAAGCGGGACAAATTGGCTCAGATCTTATGGATCCTCAACTGGGTTTCTGTAGTGAGTGGGATCATTCTCTTCAGTCTTGGCCTCTTTCTGAAAATAGAGATCAAGAAGCGCAATGAAGTGATGGCAAAAGGGGACATTAACTCTGTCCCCAACATGCTGATCTCTGTAGGGGTCATAGCATGTATCATCAACTTTCTGGGTGGCAAAATCTGCTATGACTGCTCAGATGCAAACAAGTTCTCTCGATGGAAACTAGTAATGCTGCCATACATCGTATGTACCTTCTGTTTTACCTTCTGTATCCTGGTGGGTGCTCTCATGTGCTATACCATGAGGAACGAGCTGGAAGAGTCTCTCTATCTGGGACTGAGGGATGCCATTAAGTTCTATAAAGACACAGATATACCTGGGCGATGTTTCTTAAAGAAAACAGTGGATTTGTTACAAATTGGATTCCGTTGCTGTGGAAACAATGGCTTTAGAGACTGGTTTGAAATTCAGTGGGTATCTCCTCGGTATCTGAATATGGCTTCCAAGGAGGTTCTGGAGTAAGTATTTATCAGTCATAACAAAAAATTCTAGGAGAAAAACTCTTTTGAGACTGGAAAGCCCTTTTTTTCTGGGCCTTTGTATCTTAATTAAAAAACATAGAATGACCAGGTTACTCACACAACATGCTAAATACATGTACAATCAAAAGTAGCCTTTTGCTAAGTCTTTAGGGATGCTAAGCAAAGCAGATATATTTCCTTTTTCAGTGTGGTGAATTAGCTACCTCAAAATTTTAATTTCATTTATAGTGAGCTGATAAGAGTAACAAAAAAAGGATTGTACTATCATACATTGCACAGTCCATTCTAAGCACTGAAAGACCCCTCTTCTTCAAAGGTATTAGACTTTGCAATCCCAAATTCAAATCTGTATGTTCACATGTGAGAAACTGCCAAAGACCGCATGCAAAAAAGCAGAAATTCCTAATCTCTAGTGGTCGTGCTTCACATGATGTAGCAACTGTGAAATGATATGCTCAAAAAGAAGAGTGGTAATACTTACAGAGAAGGTAAAAATTAAAAACTACCAAAAGTAGACAATCCAGTCTGTAATAATTCTTCTAAAGGTGAAAAGGGTCTTCACTGACAAGAGAGTAGTAGCTTTGTATTCCCAGGAAAGACAAACGGAAAGAGCTTGACTGGCATTTGTCAAATGCTGCATTTTGTTGAACTCAAAAATCAGTAACAACAAAGCCAGAGAAAGGGAAGCCAAAGGTCTTATTTTTACAGAATTCGCAATTTGAAATTGCCACCGTAGCAAAGCATATATACAGAACTGCAAATATACCAGAGGGCAGGACCTAAGAGGGTACAAACAAGGACATCAGCATACAGAAGACACTTGTCTGTGGAAATAAAAGCAATACAAGCATTCTCAAGAAGATGTTAGGAAGTCACAGAGAGCAGACTGACCAGAGCTGTTTCAAGTCTTGGGTCTATGCTGAAAAGTGACAAGACAAGATGATCCCCAGGAATTTAGGAGTAGTAGCTTAGTAGGAGGTCAAAAGTAAAATATACTTCCTTTTACTTCTGAGAGAGAGGCAGAAGCAGTAATGTTTTACCCAGGGTCTTAATTAAGCTGTGTTTTCTTCTGCAGGCTCACCTGTGCTCTGCCATTGTTTTGAGAATGCACTGTCAATTAGCTTTTGCACCATTTAGGCAGAAGGTGATAGTGAAATGTGTGTGAGGAAAATAATTTCTGGATTTCTTTTGTTGTGGATAGATTGCCTAATTTTATCTTGATTGGCAGAATCCAAGTTGATGCTGTATAACAAGATTATACCATTACTTTCAAAAATTTGGTAGCAAAACATTTGATATGAAATCATTGGAAGTAAAGCCCAGCTGGTAATGTTCTGAAAGGATGGACAAGGAATCAAATCTTTCTTGGTTTCAACTTGTACTCTGTGTCAGTAGTTTGTCGATCAAGAGGCAAAGCAGGTGAGACCTGACATACTGTGAACTCACATGTAACCTTTGCAAAACTGAACTTTCCACCTTCCTGCAAAACCCTTTTCTACAACTCTATTACCAACACCACAATTTGACAAGGCATGGAAACAGTCAGTAGGAATGGTAGGAACATGATGTTACAGCAGCACAAAGCTACCATTGCTTTGGTTGGGTAAAAATCACCTTTGCTCAAAAGCAAATTTTTGCTCTACAATACCATAACAACTTTGAATTGCAACAGTAAATAGCAGTGAATGTCTTGCTCCACCAACTATTTTACTAAGGTCTCCCTGTCTAACAGTACCAATACACTATTAAGTACCAAGATACAAAAGAAATAATTTTTAAATTTGCCACTAGCAGAGGAAACAGTGGCATAATTATATAACCCAAGTCTGGAAACTGCGACTGTTGGCAGTAGAAAGAGGATTCTTCTTTATAACATGACTGGAACAAAAGAAAGTTTAAATTTATGCTTGGCATGAAAAGAAAAGCTTAAGATCCAGTTTAAGAGGTTGTATTTCAACCATCTTAAACACTGTACTATATTAGGGTCATTAAATATATAATACCCTGAAACATAGAGGGTATTTTGACACCCCAGGTAAAATCTTCCCTTTCACAATGTGCCAGTCTTCCTCTCCTCTATGAACTTTCTTTTCTCCTCCCACATTGGAGCCCTCTGTTTTCCTTCCCTTCCAGTGTTTGCTTTTGCCTATACCCACAACATGGCTCACACACTTCAGTCTACTTTCAGCAGATTATTTGGACTCTTTTGCATTGATTCCAATCTCTTGCCATCACCGAGTATATGATGGCCACAAAATGAAAAGCTAGACTTGAAAATGGAGAAAAATTCCTGCCTATCCCATTCCTAAGTGGGAACTGGCAGGTGAGCTCCCTGGTTTACCTAGAAAGATCTTTGAGGAAAATGTTTTTGAGATAATTTTAAGTTAAAAAAAAACCAAAAACAAACAAAACAAAAAAAACTAAACAAACAAAAAAAAACCCCCACAAACCTCCATTACAACCCAAATTAAAAAGAGAGAAAGAAAAGAACAAGAAACAAGAACAGAGGTTGTATTTAGTAGGCTCACAACAATAAAATAAAAGCAAATTTTCTGCCATCACAGCACTTACACAAATATTGAGCTTCCTAGCAGCTTATGTTTCATTTGAAGGTTACACTTATTAATTTGATGGTCCCAAATTCCAGATGAAAACTGGACCACAGTGTTTCTGCTCCTTCTGTTTACCTGATGAGTTTCTTGTAATTATTTCCTTCCCTCTCATTTAGATCAGCTTTAGTACAACAGAAAAATATCATTTGCAAACATTAATAAATGAATAAGTTTTGGAAAGTATTAGAAAATTTACTATTGACAAATAGTGAAAGCTGTATATCTAAGTGAAAACTGTTTTTCATGTATTCTGGCATCCTTACAAAGGGTAAATGGCCTGGGCTTGATAAACTAGGGCATGGTTCTCACCCTTGGGGCTGTCTCAGGAAATCAGCTTTTTCCACCGAGCATGAAAATAGATACATGCTTAGAGGCTGCTTCCCCAAGGTGTGAGAGTGTCTCTCGGCATCTTAGATACTGCCCAGTTTCTGGAAAATCTCTTTCTCTGAAAAAAACAGATGCCAAGCCTTCCAGAAAATCTTGGTTAGTTTGAGACTGTGTTCTCTTCCCATCCTATGATTTCTTTTCCTATTCCTCTTTCACCACTTGTATTCCTCCTGGTCTTATAGAGGAGAGAAAGGACTATTTTTAGCAATAAATACATTTCTTAAAGTTACAGAAAGTAAAATTACAAGTAGAAAATCCTTTGTGAATTAGTCTCAAAACGTGTTCTGGACCAGTCCTTGCAATGGATATAGTGGCAAAAGGCCAGCAGATGATTTCCAGTGGTTCCAGTGGCATACAAAGTTGTTCTTGTATTAGGATCTCTCTCATGGAATGATTAGGTTGAAAAATCAATCCAGAAGTAGCAAGACATAGGATTTCCAGGGATATAACTTCCATTAGAATTCCACCAAGATAAACAAGTCCAAAACTTGTCCTTAGTATTCAGCACAAAGATACCTACAAAGGAAATATCTCCCTGAACACTGAACTCATGTCTTGTGGCACAAATGAAGAACCACATGAGGTTCTGTGCTATACCACACTTAAATACAGCAAATCCCATATTCAGTGTTCCTGCAGTAAACAACTTTTCCTGTTGAACGTATATGCTCATTTTCAATGTTATGCTGGAGAGGCCAACATTGCAGCAGAGTTACTCCCTTTCCTAAAACCACAGGCACTGCCTTCTGCTGACACCAGGTCTGTAATGCCCAGATTTTGTCCTGTTGCAGCCGTCTGAAGAGCAACGTTGATGGGAAGTTCTTGGTGGATGGAGTCCCCTTCAGCTGCTGCAACCCCAGCTCCCCACGGCCCTGCATCCAGTACCAGCTGACAAACAACAGTGCTCACTACAACTACGATTTCCTCACAGAGGAGCTCAACATCTGGATGAAGGGGTGCAGAGAGGCTCTGCTGGATTACTACACCGGAATCATGAGATCCATTGGCATCGCAGCATTGCTTATTTGGTTATTTGAGGTAAGTGTCTCAAAAATGGTCTCTATCAGATTAATCAGTCTTCTGTCTTTGGATGGAAAACTATGACGGTGTAACACATGAAAAGTACCTCAGCATTCAGTATAAGGTCCACAAGCACTTCAGGCATGTGGTAGGATTTTTTTTTTTTTTTGTAAAGACAACTTTTCTTAAGTCCACAGAGCAGAAGGAAATCTTGTTGAGGATAAGAACTATCAGAAACCATGTATATAATTTATAGAGCTTTTTTAACAGAATATAGCATATTCCCTTCCTTGATGCATTTATGGGATCAGATACAGGATGACACATGCAGTGACACAATGGCAAGGAAATTTGATGAGAAGGTCTGAGTGTTGTTTTAAGTCAGTTTTAAGAAATATATAAAATATTAGTAGGTCTTTGGCTCAATGCATTCATTTTGTTTGCAATTAAAATTGAGCATTTTATTAATATCTCAAAGCCTCATTTTTATATTACATAGTTTTACCATGTCATGGCATATCATCCTTTTCAAAGTAGAATGGGCTGCTGGTTATGCAATCAAAATAAGCACATCACAGGCAAGCTACACACCTGCAAAGCTGAAGTGTTCCTGCTGACATCTGTAAAGAAGAGCCCTCTGGATGTTGTCATCTGCAAGTAAAGGACTCCCCAATGGCACAGGCTCCAACACAGTTTTCTTACCTTTTTAGTATGTTTTATTTTTCTGACTATTGCTCTATTTCTTACATAAATATTAACACTGTGATTTAAGTAGTTCTCAACAGTCCTCAGGCAGTTCTAAAGGGGCTGTGATGCCAGAAATAACCTGAAGCATGTGAAAAGCTCTGAGGCAGCTCTCTGTGTTAACTTAAATATTGACAAGCTGATCTTGATTCCAACACAACAATGAAAGTGGAGCTTTTTCCTAAGCTTAGACCTGAGCCTCTGCTATAGGCCATTCTTCTTAATTTTCATGCCTTGGCAATGTTTGACACATATGGCTTACACAGGAATGACTAAATCACCTTGGAAAAAATACTGATTTAATCAATGTCAGTGGAAAAAAAAATCCACTGAAATTAACATACTACAATTTTTTCTTTCACAGTGACTGATGGTTCCATTAATTGATCAACCATTCTACAACAATTAGTTGCAGTCTCTGAAGCTACAAGGTTCACGAGTAATTCTAGGTATAAGTTCTAGGTATTTATATACTAATAAAATTAAAGAGGGATTGTTACCTGAAGAATGAAGGGAGAAACAATCCATCTCTCCCTGCTATTTTTCTTTAAAAATGTAATTAACTGGAAAAGCAGTTAGACATGTTGCTAGGAGAAAGAGTCTGTCTGCTTTACACAGTTATAAGGCCTGTAAATACACAATGAAAACTGACAGAGTGATAGGACTGAGGCTTCAATTTCAACTGTTTAACCATTAACTGTTTCTTACAGCTCTCTGTACTGATTGGTGTCCGGTACCTACAAACAGCCATGAAGAATGTCCTTCTGCTAGGAGATCTGGAGGGTGAATCAGATGGTTGGTTACTAGAAAACAGTTTTGTGGAAACTGCCAAATACAACATCAACATCATTAAGAATCTCAGCAAAGCCAACCAGATCTCCACTGTCTCAGGCATGAATGACCCCAACATTAACGTTCAAAACACAGACTGTGACAAAACTAATATTACAACAAAATCTATCCCTGCAGCTAGGTAGGCAAATCTTCCAAGGAATCACATCACAAGTGTAGCTTTGCTCTAACACACACAACAGATTATATCGGAGAGGAAAAAAAAAAGTAGAAAAACTAGTAAAACAATTTAACAAACCACAGACTGGTGACAGCTCCAAAAATGCTGATACTTCTTTGGATGGATGTGTTTTTACTTGTAAAATCCCCGATTCTCAATGTTGCAAGAAACATATGGAATTTCCCCCACTTTCTCTCCTTTACTTACAGACTTCTATAATGGTCTGAATGCATCAGAATAATCATTATGCACAAACAAATATTTCAGACAGGGTGGGTCTACACGTACTAACATAAAATTAGTTGAATAGGTAGCAAAGAAGTTTGTCATTACACCTATAAAAACCCAAAGAGCAGGGAAATCCCAAAAGAAATTATTAGACTGGATAAAAACATTATTTATAAAAAAGATGACAAAAACTGAAATGAAGATTCTGGTGGTGCAAGCTAGGAAAGGAGAAATTTTAACAAAAATATATGTATATTACAGTCTACAAGAATCTGCCATGTATGTAAAATTCAGGTGAAGGCAATAAAAGTTACCACAAAAGTATTTCACTTGTTTTTTTCAAAATATCTGAAGTACATTTCCTTCTCCTCCCTCCAATAGTTTAGAGAAAGCTGGTTGCCTCACTTCCGTGAAAGTCAAAGGGTACAGCAGAAAGGAGTTCTCTGCTTAAGAAAACTAACTGCCAGCTTTTGCAGGCACCAGCTTCCAACCAGCATGTGATAGGACAAGTTTAAAAACAAGTAGATACTTCCTATGAAACACTGATGATCCTAGATGCTTGAAAGCTCCTTGTTTCAAAAGTACTTACCCCACTGATCCAGGGGTGGGAAGATAAGAGGTTATTTGTAATCAGTAAAGGCAGACAGACTGACAGCTTGCACATCATGCCCCCACTACAGTGCTCAGGAGCTTTGTCAATGCATGAGTGAAAGCCTTCAATGCCCAAAACACCCGCAGTTACAGGATGCCCTGTGACTGTATCTGATCATTAACCGTCAGCAGGAAAAAAGTACCAATAAAAAACAGAGGTGGAAAGACCAAATGAAATATTCTACTTGTTACTGCTGTGAGTGCATTCTTTGGATAATCAAGTAAAAAAGTTTTATCACTGAAATATTTTAAATAGAACCATTCCTGCTTTTTAAACTGTGCAAAATAACAGTAAAAAATTCTTTACCTAAATACTGTTGTATCCTATGACATGGGAAAAAGAAAAAATTATACTATAAGGATATACTGTAAATAAATTGTGCAATGTAATTCCAGCAGGCTATGTGCATGACCGTAATTTCAACTGGAAGTCCTTCACAGCCTAACATGTTAGGCCTACATTTAAGTATGTTAAAACCCCTTCAAAGAACTAGATTTGTAAGCTGAGACTTCCTTTTACAAGAATTGTTAATTCTTCCCTTTGCACTGCACTTACCTGTATGCCTACTTCTTGTCTTCATTGCAATCACTGTGGCCAGTGAGGGATTAAAACTTAACTGGTATGTAATTCCTTCAGCCATTTCTGAGAGCCAAAAGTACTTACCAGCAGCTCTATAATTAGCTGACAAAAGCTGGAAAAGAATGAATGCAGAAAGTTGTAGTTCCCTGAAAGATTAAGGAGAAAGACACTAATATGTTGCAAACTAATCAGATGTCACTTATGTTTTTCTTTAAAGGCAGTGTATTTTTTTTCAGGCGAGTATGCCAAGTGTCACCTGTGTCAGTCAATAGCAGTCACTTCAACACAATTTTATGCTATTTTTGGTAAAACAGTCCTAGACCTCAATAACTAAAGCTTGCAGAATTTTAAGAACTGTGATCTTACTCTTTTGATAACTTTCTAGTTAGTTAATGGGCTTGTCAAGAATCTGCTCTGAAAAAACAGATTTGGAAGGAAGAGTGAAGTGATGATCCAGCCTCAGCATCTCTGCTGAGACAAAACATGCCATCCAGCAGCATCTGTAGCACATTACACAAAGAGCAGAGGTGTAAGTACCCAGCTATCCAATTTTCTCTGGCCCCCACAGAGCTCATTTACTTGCATATGAAGAAAACATTTTACCATAAAAGACAAATCAGCATTTAGCACATTAACCTTTGTCTCTCAGCCAACTACCCCAAACTGCAGTAATAGAATGTGATTGGGTTTGAAATTAGCTTACTTTAAGCATCTATCTCACAGGCAACAGTCCTTCTCTGACCTATTATCAGTAATTACTTAGCCATTAGACTGTTAATTTCTATCCTGTCTAGGCATTCAGAGTCTCCACTGATATGGATACATTACAAAATTATAATCACTCATTTCACAGTTATCAGGATAAAATTTACTTTTGTTAATAAATGCTTTCTTCTTTCCTTTGTAGTTATTAATTTCCTCTGAACATGGAAGTACTACACCCTACATATCCAGCTTCCTTTACAGCACCTGTCACAATAGTTTGGATTTCCTGCAGTATTTAACACCAGACACATTGGATCAAGGAAACAAACTCAGGTAGCAGCACAGAGTCCATCTTTAATTCTCTGTAATTCATAGAGACGGAGATGGCATTAGTGAGCCAAGCCTTTAAGCCAGGGCATCTGCTCAGATACAGAAATAAATACAATTCGGGGGACACTTCTTATCCTATTTGTTACTAATGCCTAATCCAGCCAAAATTTATAACAATACAGAGAATTCCAAAGTAAGGAACTCACCTATGCATAAAACTGTCTCCTTTATCAAGTTCTTAATTGAAAAAATAAAATAAACACTATAACATTGAGTTCTGGTGAAGGCACTATGAGAGTTTCTTTAGAAGTTTCATGTACAATGCTCTTCCTTTAAAGCTTGCTCATTGCCACTGAAAACAATTGCTCTGTGTTGATCACAGATAAAAAATAGTAAGAAATATAAACACACAGCACATTTAGGATTTTGTTAAAATGAACATAGTTCAAGCAGGAACTGGTACCTTGGGATGAGCATCTCAATTCTTGTACCCAAAGAGTCCGATATTAAATTTCAGGCACAATTAAGGAGGAGATGTAAGGTTCTGCAGTCTTCTGAAAAAAGCTAACCACACATCTTCACAAATACAGCAAGGACTTCAAATTATCATGAAACCCACAGTCCCCACTTTGTGCTTCACAACATTTTGCTGCAGCTCATTCACTCAAACATAAAGCCTAGAAACCTAAAATTAAGTCTGATGGACTGCAAGCTGACAAACTGTACTTATACAGCACAAACTATACTCCTTTTTGGACACTGATCTCATGAACAGCAATAAGAAAAGTCAAGTCCCATTGTAATGTCTCATTTTTAACTCTGCTACTGGTCTCTTACTCACTGTTACACGAAATTATGTACATATCACCTCTTGGGATTTCAACTTGCTCTCCTTCAATGCAAATTTCCTTTACATAACTTCACTTTCATGAACAATTTTGACTGTACTAAATGCAACTGTAGAGGAACGTAGCTAGGATTAGAAATAACTAGATTTGAGACACATGTAAGGAAGTGTATTTTCATTATTAGCCATTTTTTCCTGTATCAACCTTCCAATTTAGCCTAATCTGCAAAATACTCATAAAACAAAGAGACTGCACCACAGAAATTAAACTACTTCTATTTTTGATAAAATATCTTTGAACACCTTGTCAAGCAATAGGTTAGAAGAATCTAAATAACAACTTAGATGTATTCTGAATCTGAGTAGTTTATATTGGAGATTATTCAAGGTTGTTGTCTAGAAAATAAGTGAATTTCAACCATAATGCAAAGCATATATTAGTGAAAATATTTCTCTATATAACTTTGTACATTGAGATTTTTATTACACAAGAAATAGTGTTATGGCTTCTTTTCTTTTTTCCCTTAATTAACAGGATTCTTGTTCTAATTTTCTTCCGAACATTTCTGTTAGTAGACTTCAATCTACATCTATCTTTTACCTTTTCAGAAATTAAGTTCTTAAAAACCATTTACTAAGCATAAAGAGCAACATCATTAACACACAAATGGTGCCCAAAGCTTCAATAAAGCAGTGAAGACATGATGACAACCAGCAGCCTGTGACATAAATAGCGAGAAGTACTGGCCATATCTACATAAAAGATGTCTTGACTGTTTGCTTAGGTCTATAATAAACCACTTTTTTTCAAGTATGTATTACACAACACATGAGATCAACACCATAAAGTTTCCCTTTCTAGAGGTTAAGTATCTGCCGAATAGTACAGCCAGTTCTTCAAGATACAAAACCAGAAGCACTCAACTAGATCAGTTTCAGGGCATATAAATATTAAATTCTGTACTTTAGACTTCTTTAAGAAATTTATGTAAACACTGCAGGAATTTGCATCTGTAAAATACTAGGATAAGTTTCAAGTGCAGTGTATCTTTATGTAAGAAAAGGCATGCCACCATTCCTTACAGCATGACCAAGATACAGCCTACATGGAAAACTAATAGCTTACCAACCATTTACCAGCTCTTCTCCTTTCCCATACTGACAGACACCACTATAACACTCTTGCAAAATGAACTGTGAGGTGCCAAAATGCCTTCAAATAAAAACTTAATTATCTACGAGAAGTTACTTTATTTCTTTTTTTTTAAATATACATATACAAGATATTTTATTTCAAAAGCACAAGAACATTATACAAGTTCCAAATTTACATTTTTGCAATTTAAGATACCAGTATGTGCATTATCAAATAACTTCTGTCAGCTTGGATGGAACAGAAATAAGTGGCATAAGCATCTTGCAGTCACTAAATACAGATTATACTCACAGTGAACAAAACTGCATAGTAATTTATGAAATGAAAGATGACCACGCTAGTCAGTGAATTATAGGGGAGTCCATTTGCTAAATTAGTATGTGCAAACATACAGAAAGAGTCAACTTTCCTCTCCCACTTCTTTAGCTACAAAGAGGTTTCCAGAGCTTTAATGGAGCTCACCTGCTCTTACCAGCTCC